TTTTTTTTTTTTTTTTTTTTTTTTTTTTTTTTTTTTTGGTACCAGGATTGAACTCAGGACTTTGTGCTTGCAAGGCAGGCATGGTGCCACTGTGCTAAATCCCCAGCCCTGAGGGAGTGCAGTTTCAATATGATTGTTTAAAGGGGCAAGCATTCAACCTGTAGCAGAAGGCTGAATTCCCATATTATCAGAGGATTTAACAAAAGAACCTGCATTCTTTTATACTGCATTAAGAATGATTAAAGGAGCAAGCTCTCCGGCAGGCTGGCTCCCAGGAATGATTCAAACAAAACTAAAGAACTGACCAGCGAGAAAGAGCTGCTCACTCTCCCCTGATTCGAAAGTGAAAAAGCAAGAAGTTGCTACTGCCAGCACATCAGCTAGCCCAGAAAGCTAAGCAGCTAGGACACTGATACAGAAAATCTTGTGTCTTGTAGCCATATTTGCCAAGAGAGACTGGCCAAGCTTTAGCACGTTACCTTCACTCACTTCTGCCTTCCAGGTACATGCAAATATATGACTGCTTAGTACAATTTCATCCAGAACCGTAGCTACTAGAGTCTAGGAAAACAACCACCGCAAATGTGTTTAGCTTTCTGACTCCTGCAATGTATGCTGTGCACTGAGATGTTGTGTGACTTAAATTCCACATTTCCACAAATAATTTTTTTCAAACACCTTAGTAGTATACTCATGTTTTGCCAAGGGCTAAGTAATTTTTGTCTTTATAGATGAATTATACCTTTCCTACATATTGAATAACAGCATTATAATTTTCTTCGAAACACTTGAAACAAGACTTCATCATGGTCTTCTGCCATTGAGTATTTTAGATGACAAGTGGGAGACCAGACTTTTTCCTTGCTTAAGAATCTAAATAATTTTTATATTTAGAATTTTAGGATAAATATAATGTGTACTTATTTAAAACAATGCTTTGTGATACATAGTGAATTCTCTGATTTTGAAGTAAATGGCTTTTACAGAGATAGTGTTTACTCAAATCTCATTGAAAATATAAAATGTTTAAATACATCCCTTTTTTCCTGCATGAATTCCTTATGATAAAGTCTGTTTTCTCTAATTTATTAGCTTTTTCCCATCATCTAAGCTGCTGGTTTTCCTCATGTGTCTGAGTTTGTGCAGCTTAGTCTTGCTGGTTAACATCTCTTAGTGCAGCCTTCACCACTGAGGCTCAATCTGAGCCTTGGGGCAATAATTACATCCGAAATGCTGGTTGTGTAGGTTAAATGAGTTAGCATCTGTAAAGTACTTTTAAAATAGTGTCTAAAGTAGAGTAAAAGCTCATCGTCATCACCACCTCTCCCACCTGGGGAGCCTGGGAAATGTACTTCAGAACTTGTAGAGGTCTGGCTGTAGAGATATGCTCCCTGGGTCTGCCCTGGGCTCCGTGGACAGTAGATTAGGCTGTCAAAGTTGCTAATGCCCTTGAACAAAATGTGTGACAAGAAGTTCTTGAAAGTTTTTGAGAAATTTGACATTGGTACCATCCAAGTTGAAACCCTTTCTATTTTGGACAAGGTCCTGCCTTCTGCTTTAACACTCTCAGCTGGGGAGCTAAAACTAAGAGGGAGTCAAGGGCATGTGTTAGTCTTTGTAGTGCTAGGATATCCAGGTGTTCATTTAGTAGAATGTTAATTCCTAAGTAAGAATGAATGTAAAAGCACCTCTGATTCTTTTCCTTTGGCAAATTTAATTTTATTATAGTTCTCACAGTAAAAATTTTCAACATACGAGAATAATATCAGAAAATAATTTTTGAGCCCAACTTTGATTTGTTTCAACAATTTTGAAAAAGAATGAATTGTATATATGTTATATGAAATAAAAACATTAAAGTTATACATATGGATACGATAGCCATTTTCAATCTCATGATTTAACAGTGTCTTTTAGATTTTGGCATTTGAAAAAGCTGAACAGATACTAAAAAGTTGGTTGACAATTTCAAATTCCTTTGATGTATAAACAATTTCAGTCTACAAGATTTCTCACATTTTTGTTTTTGGGTTTTGGTTGATTGTTTTGTATTGGGGATCAAACTCGGATCCTTGCGCTCGCAAGGCAGATGGTAGAACCACTGTGCTAAATTCCCAGCCCTTTCACATTTTAATTGTCATTATGACATATCAGAGGTGTGAAAAATTTGTCATAGCCTTGATATAAAACAGTATAGATAAGCAGTAATTTAAGCTTTATGAGTATAAATAAGGATCAAAAGATAGATAATGTGAAATAGGAAGAAAAGGGGTAAAGCGAAAGGGGCAAAGGGGAAGGGGAAGTGGGAGGGGTAGAGGAAAGGAAAGAAGGGAATGCAGTTAATAAGAGAAAATGAAAAAAATGGAAAAAAGACTTTGTAAATAGGGATAAGTGGAAAGGTTGAAGGGAAAGCAGGTCAGTGGGGAAAAAAATAAGACCAAGATATTTTACGTAAAGGTACAAATTTTCAGTGATGAATGGAATTATGTTGTATGCCTAAAATGTACCAATAAAGTTAATTTTTTAATTTAAGCTTTATGGATGACTAGTCAATATCAAATGTAATGAGTTACTGCTGTACTGTTGTATATTAAATTAAACTCTTGTATAATTCTTTAACATGTAATATATCAATTAAATATACTACATTTTATTAGATTTGAAAATGTAGCATCAGTTGACTATAGATAGCAAATATATATACACGAGTAATGTTGCATTTATGTTTATTGCAGAATGAATTGCTTGTATCATTCTAATTGTATGTCTGTTCTTGAATTCATTGTAAACATTTATGAGCTTTGGTTTGGGGGGTTTGTTTCTGTTTTTGTTTTTTGCTTTTAGGCATGAAGGAACTGACTCTCCATCAGATATAGAAGATGTCATTGTTGTATTAAACAGCTTCAACAGCAAGATAATAGAAGTGGAGGTGTGTGAAACTGAAGTTTTTTATTGTCTTTTACCTTAACCTTAATAAATACTTTTTTTCCTTAATTTTTATTTTGCAATGAAATATGTAGTTTTACTACCTAAAATATTATGTTGGAACACTTGTGGTAAAAGGAAGGAAGATTAGATCATGAAGAGAAAGCAGAAATTGACAGTAAAATAAAAGGAATGATTTTTGTTTTGGATTTTTTTTCCTAGATCGCGCTATAGTACTGTATCTATCATATCTGTAACCAAATGTTAGAAATTAGGATCCAGAGATGGGATCAAGAAGACAGGCTGAGTAGCAGAAGTGATATTTCTTTCCTTAAAACAAGAAAGAAAAGAGAGTTTTTCTTGCCATGTTCTTTATACTTTTTAGGGAAAAGTGTTTTATTTCTTGTTTTCTCTTAGAAAATGATTTTTTAATCATGGCTAGAATAGCTCCTTTAGATCATCCCTCCTGCTTAAAACTACTAAAAATGCTGGATAAAATGTTTAAATCTTGAAAGCACTGAAGATCTGATAAACAAAATTAAAAGAAAATTAAAGAGTTTAGTGAAATAAGGAAGCTCAGAAGATTTTCTTGGCCTAGGAAAGCTGCTGTCCTTGGGAGCATTTGTCCATTCTGGCATACCTGAATTGGCATTTTGATTTCATTTACTGGATTATATGGAAAGAAATTAAAACCCAAGATCCATATTAAGTAGGTAATTTATTAGAAGACCTCACACACACACACATAGGCTAACCATACATCCAAAATTAGTCACAATAACCCAAAGAATTCTTAACCTTCTTTTGACGCTGTTCCAGATTGATAGGCTATCAAACAGCCACAGATCTCTGGAATAAGATTATAATAACTAAACTGCAAGTCAAATTTTCAAGTATACAAGGTAGCACATTGCCAAACATGAGCAAATACACAAAGAAAACCAGCAGAAACAACAAACAGCAGAATACAGATACAACAAAGACTCTGAATGTTAGAATTCTTGACACAGTCTCTAAAACAACTGTGTTCAGTGTTTAAATACTCAAGCTGGCAAGGTGGTGCACACCTGTAATCTTGGCACTCAGGAGGCTGAGGCAGGAGGATCATCCCAAGTTCAAGGCCAGCCTGAAATATACAAGAAGACCCTATCTCGGCAAAATAAAAAAGGAAGGAAAACTAGACTTGAAAATAATTGTAGGAAATGGAAAACTACAAAAAGTGCACGTCAGGTTTTTCTTTTTCTTTTTTTGGTGTTGGGGCAGAATTTTTTTTTAAGTAGAACCTTTGAAACTGAGTAATATAATAGTAAAGTTAAGAATTTAGTGGCTGGCTTTTATATTTCCTTAGAGAGAATTAAGAAGGTGGAGAATAGGTAGCAAGTATCTTAAATGAAGTAGTTAGCAAAAAAAGGAAACTACGAACATCTAGAAAAGCAGGAGTGAATGTAAAACTGACTCTGACATTCATTTTCTCTCTGAATTTGGGTAGATTATTTAACTTCTTTTTGATTTATAAAATCGGTTTAATTATAGAACTACTTTACAGGGTTGTTAGGAGAATGAGCTTTATAAAGTACTCCATGACTTTTTGTTTCATAAATAAAATCAGTTTAAATGGAGTTTCAGAAGATGAAAGAATGAACAACAGATGGCTAAGAATTTTCATGAATTGCTGAAAGATAGCAATTAAAGACACTATATCCTAACCATACCAAAATCCTTCACTTGTTTTCTAACAACACAGTTTGATCTCCTAACCATCTGTCTCTCAGAATTACAGTGAAAAGACAGGAAAAGGGAGGAGAAAAGAGAAGCAACACAGCAGATCAGCCCATGAACTCCAGTAGCCCACAAGGAGGTATTCCAAAAGAAAAGAACAGAGAAAATAGAGGAGATAAAGTACGCTGTAGCTAAAGGTAGCGTTCATGTCAAAAGAATTCATAAGAACAAGTGAAAGACTGGGGATTTGACTCCAGTGGTACCTCCATCTGCCTCACAAGTACAAGGTCCTGAGTTGGATCCCTGGTACCGAAAACAAAATGAACAAGTGACAATAGCTCATGTAAGACCCTAAGAGATACTGAAGAATAAAGACAGGTCACTGCAACAGAATGACACTATAGAATTTTCAGCATCACTGTTAAAGTACAGCAAAACAAAGCCTTCAGTGTTCTGAGGAAGAGTACTTTCAACCTATAATTCTGTACTTAGCCAAGTTGTAATCAAATATGAAGCAAAATAGGCCAGGGATTTAGCTCAGTGGTTCCACCGCCTGCCTCGCAAGCACAAGGACCCAAGTTGTATCCCTGGTACAAAAAAAAAGAAGCAAAATAGTTTTCTGAAGTGTGAAGATTAAGAAAAATTACTTTTCACACTCCGCCAGCACAGTGAAGATGAAGACTAAGAATGATAGATAGTTTGAGTAATGGTAAAACTTATGTATAAACTACACTTGATCTTAGCCAAAAGGCCGAGAAGCGATTATAAACTAATGAAAACATCTGCAAAGAAACAGGCAGTAAATTTTGAGCTCAGAATAATGTCTTCAGGAAGACAGGGATTCTAGATAGTTAGAAAGCATACGTAATAAACTGGAAACCATTAGGAAAATAGTAAAGAAGACCTGTATGTATAACTTTCCACAAGAAAAAAATATCTATTGGTGGAACGAAAGAGAGGAGAATTCATTTGAATTAGCCTAAGTCTCAGAGTGACACAGTTATGTCACTGTGACTCTACAGAGGAAATAAAGTTGTGGGAAGGGTTCTGGAGATGGGGAAAACAGTAGCACAGGTAGGAGAAGGGGAACTAAAAATGATTAAGATACATTGGGTATAGTACCAATTACATAAGATGAATATAATTATTATGTGTCACAAACATACACTCATAAAAATGAAACTGAAGAAAGTACAATTTAATAGCCTTTTACCCTCTTCCATCGATAGTATTTACTGTGTTAAAATAAGCACTATTTATTTTTCAAGCTTTAAAATCGCAGGAAATAATACATAATACAATTATGTTTACCTAACAGATATGAATGCTATCTACATTTACAAATGATAAAGTAAAAATTTAAGCAATATAAGCTGGGAGGTAGAGGAAAACAGTAGAGGTGCTACTATCCTTATCTTTTACATAGAATATACAAGGGAAGCTGTTACAGTTGTTGGAATAATAAAGATATTTAAATATTATTTAAAGTTACAAAAATACTCAACTGAAGAACCAAAGAAATGACACTACTACCAAAACTACCAAAGAGGGAAAGAAAGACTGATCATGTGATCTGCTCATCTTTATCACAAAGAGTAAACAATGTCTAAACTCTCTGAACTCAGAAATGACTACTACTTTATGACTAAAGTTGATAACTTATCTAACCCTCATGTAAGCATATTGTTTAGCAGTATGGAAGTAACCACTGGGTTGAGGGGAGACTAAAACAAGAGGCTGAATTAATCATTGAAGGGTAGATATTACCTGGCTTTGTTTACTCAGTTATCTTTCTTAAATTTCCAGGATAATCTTTTCTAATATATTTTATTTTCTAACCAAATAGCATACAAATTTTACATTTTTTCTTTACCATTCTTTCTAGGTGCAAAAAAAGCCAGACAAAATGAATGAAGATATCCTTACTGATAGTGATGGAAAAAAAGGAATGTGGGAATCCATTAAAAGGTAACTAATAATTCCAGCACTCGGGAGGCTGAGGCAGGAGGATCTCTGTGGGTTCGAGACCAGCCTGGGCTACATAGTGAGTTCCAGGTCAGTCTCAACTACATAGTGAGACTCTGTCTCAAAAATAAAAAAAAAAAAAAAAGGTAACTAATAATGAATATTTTAGCATATAACTAGATTGATCAAGAGTCAACTATGTGGAGAAGGTACAAAGGACAAAACTCTAAAGTACAGATTGTCTCCTCTAGAAGGGATAAGACGTATATAAATGTTAATGCAAGATAGGAAACAGGAGCTGTGAGACAACTGAAAAAAAAGTATTTTTTCAAACCAAAGGAGAAAAAGAATATATCTAGTTAGGACGAACCTCAGGAAAGACTTCTTCAAAAGTTGTGGCCTTGGATCTGTTCTAAAGGAAAGATAGGATTCAAAATTTGGAGATAAAGCAGGGTACTTGGTTACATGAAGGCAGAAGAACTGGGTATGTTTCTCAAAGAACAGAAAGTAATAGTTTAGTTGTGAACTAAATATAGCAAGTATTTACAAGTTACATTGTTAATCAAAACAGGAAAGTACTGGCTCACATATATAATAAATCCAGAAGTACACTTGGATTTGAGCATTCAGGAGACGTAGTCAGAAAACACTTTCCTCGTCTCTGCATTTCACTGTTATTCTGCCTCCTCCATTTTCAAATAGGCTTTAAAAGTAAGTTTACCACCTCCAGTAGCAAGAAGTAGACTCTTTCCAAATGAGATCAATAAGACTGCCAGGCCTGACCCATTGATCCCACTATAGCCGTGCTCCCAAACTGCGCTGATCACTGTGACTCTGACTGTGCTTGGGTCATGTGCCTGCCTCTAGAGGCAGTCGGAAGTCCTATCCACCTAAATGTCATAGAATGAAATTGGAGCAGAACAGTTCCCTTCAAAACGCTAGGTCATCATTACTAGGATGGGAAAGAGTGCTGGGCAGGCAAAATCAAAAGCTGTTCTTCTGTAGATCCTCGTTATGGAGATCTTTTAAGTCTGTTATAAAGATTTGAATTTAATTTGAATTATGATAGGAAACCATTGATCATTTTGATCAGAGAAAAGAAATATGTACACGCTTTGGGCCAAATAGATTCCATAACCTAAACAAATATTAATACTAGTTAAAACTATTCATATCATTTATTTTGCCCAGTTTAAGCTTTTTTTTTCTACAGTTGACTGATTGGAAAGAATCATATTACTATCTTATGAATCAACTTTTTAAAAATTGTTATAACTGTTTATACTTAGAAAAAATATTTTCCATGATTGCAGTTATTTCATTTTCCAAATTTTTGTCATTTTAAATGCCTGTTTATATACAAATGAGATTTTTTTTTTTTTTTTTTTTTTTTTTTTT